ACTAATGTTCAACTCCGTAGCCTTGTAATTTTGAACCAATCCGGAAGACAAGGGAACTCCAGGATCAGTATCCCCAGAGGTATTGATTTGTTATGGGAACATGGAGGATTTTGCTATTCGACAGATTTAACATGCATCAGTCACTATTTACTACACGGGGAGTCTTCGGCCTTAGGGGATCAAACCCGCGAACTCTTGGACATGGGCCCAGCGCCCTACCGACCAGGCTATCCCAGTCTTTAAGAATTAGATTCCTTGAACTAATTGAAAAGCTTCTTATTTGAATTATCCGAAATTTGGAATTATTCTAAAATGAATAGAAATGGATATAAAGATCGCATGTTTGAAGGAAAAAAATTATCAGCTTTTACAAAAAATGGCAATAACCAAATAAGAAACGAAACACCAACGCACAGTAAATAAACTGTAAGAAGAATTCACCAAATAAGGTATTTCCCCAAATGTTAGTCACGTAAATATATTAAAGCCAAAGAGTACTAATTATCACCTGTAAAAACATCTTAAGTTTAATTTAAAACAAGCTCTTATTAAAAGCTCTATGAAACAAGCTCTTATGAAAGATTGAAAGTAAATAAACTGCAGAGGAAATAATTGTGATAATTGATCTTTTGCACAATAGTTTTGTGCTCGATTACTTAAATATCTAATTTAACTTAGAAAAGAAAACCTTAGAAAAGAAAAACCTCCCAATCAATTTTTTGCTATTATAAATTTCACACGAATCATGCCAATGAACAAGTGCTTTTCTCGATGAATCGAAATTTAAATCACTGTAATTATGATACTATAATCGAAATTCAAAGTTACATAGACTACTCATTGAATTAAACTATAAGGATCTTACTTGCATTAATTTTCCACGCATCGCTTTGTATATGATTGTTTTGGATTATCCGAGATTTGAGATTAACGACAGTTTAATAAGCAGGGTTCAAATATATTTATTATGAAAAAAGTTCAAAAAGGTTAGTTAAAGTGGGTTTTCGTTTTAAATAAATGTCTAATCCTTACTTATATTTTAATACGAATACTATATAAAAAAAAAAAATTATTAAAATACGATACAATTGCGTTTCAACTAAAATCGGACAACATTTTGTATCAAAATACAGCATATTGCTTCTAATACATATTTCGAATATTCACAAATAAAATAAATTCAACGATAATTTCATTTTGGGCTCCAATATAGCACCATCAGCAGAAAAATTCGTGCTCAACTTCATTCCTGTCAACAAAAACAAGCATTCCGTACTCACAAAACCACATAATCGTCGCCAAATTACTATTCCAATACTAATGGGTCGTGTAACGACGAAGAGTAAAAATTTCGAACGCTTTCTTCTTTGGAAATGGGGTAATCCATTATACACCATCACAAATTCTTCCTCACCCTCCTTAACATTCCATCTTTCTCAACTCATTTTCTATTCAAGATATAGGGTGCTGACGCCTCCAACTCCCCATCTCTTTTGTGTTCTGCCCTGCCGCAAATTTCATTAACAGTTAATTTAATTCTCTATCTCCAAGGTTGGGCTGCTTAGCTTAAAGAAAAATTAATAAGCACAGATGAGCTGTCAAAAATGCGTTTCTCTCCCTTCTAGCAAACTCTTCTCTTTCGTTTTCCTGCTAAATATTATTTCATTTTCACTCAATGATCATCTACCCCCTTCCTTTCCTACGTCACTGCCTCCATCTCATCATCTAATGAAGTGGTTAAAGATGAAATGTGCAAACACGGCTATGATTATTCCCCTTCTGGGACTCACTTTTGGAGAATAAATCTGTTTGCTCAGACCAATCAACAAATATCAACAAATTTTTTTTTCATGCTCATGATCATTCAACAATAAAATAATATTTTTTTTTAGTATTGAGTTCAGCTGAGTTTATGGTAATATAAGAACTTTATAATTATATTTTAAGTCAATTTACAGTAATAAGTTTAACAGAGCTAGTGATAATAACTAACAATGAATTAATTGCGATAATAACACATCTGTTTACTTGATAATATAAAAAACTTGATTTTTGTTTTCAAACATTTGTGAAGGTCGTCGTAAAAGTCGAAATGCTTCGAGCACTCAAAAATGGGCTCCCATTCTCAAGACTCGCTGGGCATGAAGGAGGAAAACAAAAGAGATTTGTTACAAATTTGCCTATGAAAAAACTTAAAATGAATAAAGGTGAAAAACAAAACTAAAAAAACCCACGGTAGTTGCGAGGGAAACAGAAAACGCACATTAGCCAACGAAGAAGTGACGCGTTTTACTCTCAGTTACCGTGATTTTTCTATGTTTATTTTTCACCTTTTTTTTCTGTTTTTTTTTTGTTCGCAAGTTTGCATTTTATATTTCAAATCACTTTTGCTTTCTTGATTCTTACGTCTGGAAAGTCTTGAGAATGTGTGCCTATTTCTGAGCGCTTGAAGCATGTCGACTTTAAATACCATTTTAATAATTTTTGAAGCAAATAAATCAATTAAACAAGTTTATTGCATTCCATATTTATTAATGTATTCCTCATTATTGCATCCCATATTTTAACTGTTTCTTCAACCAGGAATAATTTATCGCAAAAAATTTATTGCAGCTGAACTGTAAAAAAAGGATTTCTCAAAATTGAGCTAAAATGTGTCGAAATAGTTCCAAAACCAATAATAGTATGTCATGATGGTTCCTTGAGATCACATACAATGCTTTCCAACTTTCAACTGGATTTGTTTGTACAACTATGGTGGTTAGAGCAATCCGCACCGAGCATGGAGGTCTTGGGTTCGATTCCACCGGCAGCCAATGAGCATCTCGCTCTCTCTCACTTCTTTTCCTCCACATCACTTCTGAGATTAAGCATTTTGCTCAAAAATGAGTATATGCTGTTTAATTTTGAATACACGGGGCTTCAAATTCAACCATTTTCTGTTTCGGAGCTATTATGACACATTTTTGCACCATTTTGAGAAACCCTTTTTTACAGCAAGGACAAGAATTTAAATATTTTTCTTTTACATTTTCTTAGGTACAATTTTATCAACAATCAGCAAACATGTATAAAAAATACTATTAAAACTGAACTAAAATATCATTAATTTAGGCAACAAATATCAGTCCCAGACACCACATTTTCATGCAATCGTTTGACTCCAGGATACTCATAAAAAATGTTTTTTACCAAGCAGGATCAACAGAAAGTGATAAAGAACGAAATTTGAAACTTAACAGTGGAACGTTTATGTCCCAAAAATGTACACTCATTGAAAAACAAATCTGGGTTTTTTTTAAAGTATTAACTTGATTGTGCGTTCCTTAAACTGTTCTTTTCGATTCTTACAAACAATCAATAACCTTAATGACAAAAAAAGCAAAAAAAGAGAAGGAAAATTAAATAAAGTGGCAGTCTGGACGCAATTCTTTCCCACTCCCTTATTCGGGAGTTCGTTCGGGAAGGGGATAATCGTGTGTCCCTTGAGTAAGGGGATCCAATCAGTGATTGTGGCACACGTGATACCGATACCCTAATTTAGTAGGCCGTGTTTAACCTGTTTACCACCCCAAAAGCCACCTACGCCTCCCTTTTATCCCCCCCCCAGTCCGGTCGATCACCAGATTAAATACTGGAACGGTATTGTCCGGTCGATATACGTGCTGAGTTGTTTGAATGATTTCTAGAATGACTGCGTGACGATTATGTGTGCAATTCAAAACTTAATTTAAAGTGGTATTTTATTTCCTTTAATATATCTTGCTTCTAACAATGTCATGTCTTTTTTCACCTCGAATTTGTTACAAATTATGTTATAAAATTTAATTTTAATACATTTTCTACAAGTTATAATTGGTGATCTAATATTCCATAAGAAATTTTTCTCTGGTTTTGGACCTTCTCCGAAACTAAGAAAAATTAACAATGAGAAGTGGAAGTTATTTTCGTTATAATTTTTTTCCTTATAGTTCTACTTCAACAGCATTTTTTAATAATTACTGATGTGTGTCCACAGTATATTATACGTATATCAGGAATAAAAATTTAAAAAAGCAAATTAGTCACTAATCCGAAAGATCAGTAAAAAAAAAAAAATTTTCTAGGCAGTACAAAATTTTACCGATCCGTTTACATGTTTCTATAGATGTTTCAAGACGAAGACGAAATATCGATGAGGGACATATTTAATGCTCACGTAATGATGAAATATGCTCCATCCGGCATAACATATATATGCAGTCAAACCCCGCTATAGTGAACCTTCAAAGGACCGAAATTTCGGTTCACTATAACCGGGAGTTCACTATATCCGTTCCTCAAAAAATGTTAACTAATAGTTAAGAACTCCTTTCTTTTATTGCACACGATTTAAATAAATGACCATTTAAATGAAATACAAAAAGGACTGAAAAATAATACGTAGTAACAGAAAATGTGTTAACTTATTTTTTATCACTCATCTTCTTGTGTACGAAAAAAATAATTAGTAATCTTTAGCTGATGCGAAGCTGATTCAGAAAAAATTTTGACCATACACCTGCCTGGGTTGGCCTTTAGTTAGGGATGGGAAAGTGAGATAAAAGTAGCAAACAAGAAAACATGCTTATTGCTACATTCCACTCTAGAGATGATTTTAAAAATCAGTATAAGTATTTATTTTGAAGCAGACATTTCATAATTATTACAAAAAAATGAAGAAAAAAAATCAGTCGAAGTAAGAAAAAGTTCATAACATCCAACTTCCTCACTTTTTTGGCTCACTACATCCGGGAGTTCATATATATATATATATAT